TGATATTTTATACATCAATATAGTATTTAATACAAAATATTCAATAACCCAACTTCAAACTGTACAAGATACAACATAGTTTACAGCTTTTTGGCTATTTACAAAAAGTATGATCTGAATATCAAAGTGAATAAATCTAAAAAGGCAGGTTGCAGTCACTGTAAGCTTATTGAGTAAGGCAAAAAACTTGAAACATGATGTATTTACACTTTTGCAGATCAAGTGAAATGTCTCCACACTTAAAGATGCAGCCTAGACAGATATATTCAACACGCCTCTTGTGTCCGGAAGAGCATCTGAGAGATGTACGCTCAAGCTTGTTCAAAGAATTCTCGAGCTGTAGCTTAAATATGATGAATAGCGGCAGCACAGTAAATGCCTGAAGAAACGACAGCAGCCAGGCACTGCACCTAAGTCGGCACAGCTTAAACGTACGTACACATGGAGCATTTGAAACACTTAAAGGTCATGCATTTATGGACGTGGTGTGCTTATGTTCACGTGTATGTGCTCTTTTATTTAAGAATAAATTATATATGCCATCTGGAATATATCTATCATTTGGGATATTTGGCATTAACTTCTTTTCAAACATTTTCTTCCTCTTTCTGTTGACTTTAATATCTTCTTACTGTTAAAATAAAACTTTCTTTGCCTATTTTTTAAATCACATTACAATAAAACTCTGAATTAAAACTTTATCAAGTCTGGATACTTTTTAAGTTTATTACAAAAAAGTGACATGTGAAATACTATTGTTCTGCGAGCAACTTTTCCCCTCTTTTGCAGAGGCAGTAAAAGTTGTAAAACATCCATGGAATGATCATTACTTTGGTTTTCTTTCAGCAGGAGCATCATTACTATGGCTGTCAACTTTTAAAAAGTCACCCACTGTGTTAAATATTAATACGTCACGCATYGTAAAAAGCCTAAGCCGTCCAGTGAAAAGTGGGTATAAAAAAGGATTTTTGTGCTGTTTTGTTACAATTCAAAACTAACCACACGTGCATACACACATGCAAGTACACACATGCATGCGTACTCACACACACACACACACACACACACACACACACACACACAAAAAAAAAATAAAACACAAAAGAATAAGAACCACAATTTTCTCTGTAAATAATGCACTATATCCTTGGCATAATCAGGACAGTGCAAAAGCAAATACATGAGCAGTCTTTTTTCTGAGAACCATTGTACATAGTCACCCCACTAACGTGGGAATATGCACTTTGTTTGCACACTGTAACTGGATCTGAGAGAACCCGAGAACGCCACAAATCAAATCCTCAGTTGCTTTGATGCTTAAAGAAGAGCTGAACATTTGTGCGTACATTTCTTCTCTCCAGATGTTTCAGGAAAAGTGGCGAACGGTTGAAAAAAAAATCTCTAAAAGCAACTCTGATTGTCCGCATCGTCACGTCGTGTCCCAGGAGGATTTCGTCCTGAATGAGCTCGTCCCGGATTGCATCAGTATAGTCAGGATTTATCCGGCGGCCGAGTCCCCCGCGGCCCCCACCCCCTGCTGCCTTTAGGGGTACATTTTCGACAGTTTTCGGCACAGAAGAATGCGAATGTGAGAAGCTGTAAATTGCCGATAATTGCCGCGAATTAGCAAAATTCAAGGCAGTTTACAGGGACGAAAATCTCACTTTTCATGCGGTGGGAATTCCTGGACAGGCCCGGTCTTTTCCAGGGGCTCCTGCTGCGTTTGAGACAGTCTTCTCTGTCTTTAGACTGCTGCGTCTGCAAYGGCCACCACGGCCTCGATTTGAATCTTAGTCACCTCTAAGTCCTCCTCTTCCTCCTCGCCCAGGGCAGGCACGCAGGACGGGTTTGTCACTTGGCTGTTGCCGATGTTGATCTGAGAGTTGCTGCCCGTGCCGGCGTGAGCGACGCACAGGCTGGCGGTGGAGGAGACGCTGCCCAGGTTGGTCGGGACACTCGTCTTGCCGCAGGAGTGGATACGGCGCGCCAGGCTGGCGGAGCGCATCACTGAAGAGGTGGTCGCCGTGCCTATGCCCTGCACCTTCCCTTCCAGAAAGTAGGTCAGCATCTCACCTTTGCCTTTCACGCTGACCTTACCCCGGCAGACCAGGTCGTAGTTGCTGTTCAAAAGCCGATACACGTCCTCAGTCACCTGGAAAAATGAAACACAAAAATCACAAATGTTTAACTTCAAGTGCCCGTGACGTCATTTGTTTTATATAGATGCATTTTTTAAAGTTATTATCAATCATTGATTGCAGAAATAAAAAAATAAAAAAATTCACACTGCTGAGATGAACACCATTGTAAAGTAACAGGAAGTARTGTCAAAGGGGAATGTCTGCATGTGAGTTTATTGAGTCTCCAGGGAGTTCCTTTTCTTAAAAAAATATTCCCTTTGATGTCACTTCCTGTTTCCCTTTGGCTGAGTCAAGTTCAAAAGTCATTATGCCAGTTATGTTTCAGAATGGGCACAAATATGTGTTTTATGCACAATGTGGATTATAAAGTACTTGAAAAAATAACTAAAAGTAAAATTACATGAACAGAAAATGACTTTAGTAAACATAAATTTCACTGATGAGAAAACTACTTAAGTAAAAGCCATAAAACTGTTCATAAAAATTGGGAAAGTAAAAGTAAAAGTACTTATACACACTMTAAGAAGTAAATTGTTGAATTTACTGAACAAAACTGATTCCACTAAACCAGGTTGGGTAAATTGAACGAAATATGTATATTCATTGCTGAATTTACTCGACTAGGCTTAGTTATTTGATTTGATTTATTGATTTAACAGGAAAAGATTACTAAAAATCAAGCCTGACTCAGCACAATTGCTGTTTTACAGTTGCATGACCACTTCCAGAATTTGATTTGGGCAACAATGCACAGAGAGTTCCATAATTGGCACCTTGGGAGATCTGAAAATATAAATTAATACCACTATACAAAACATAATTCTGAAAAGTCAAGGCATCAGACAATGAAAGAACTGTACAGTGATGAGTCCAACCAGGAAGTTTTTTATGAATTTTGTAGGCCCTGGTTGTTTTTCCCCACAAAATGAATCTGATTCAGTGTCAGACATAATGAGAAATATCTGCTTTTTACAAAGAAGATGGAAACATCTGGTTTCACCTGTATACAGAGTTGTAAAGTAACTAAGTACAAATACTTTGTTACTGTACTTAAGTAGAATTTTTTGTTACTTGAGTAATTATTTTTCAGTCTACTTTTTACTTTTACTCCTTATATTTTATAAAAAGTCAAGAAGTAGAAAGTCGTTACTTTTAATTAAAGTAACGACTTTC